CTATAAAAAGTATGCTTTTTGAGTCTCGCACATCATGGCATCAATATATTATGACATGATGTCTGAAACTCCAAAACCCCATATATTCCATGTATCATGAGTACAATACCAGTGTTGATATTACTATTAATGTTGGAGAATTTATATTCGTGTTAATACAAATTTTGAACTTAGACTGCAGCCTGTGACAGCTTTTTTCAATGGAATATCCTAACAATGCATGCTCTAAGTTAAGGATCTATAACAATGAATGCCAAATAGCAAAGCTGTCAGACTGCTTTTGATCACACCACAGCAGCAGCTGTCTTGCCTGATTCAGTCCTCATGACAAATGTCAAACACCTTGTTGGAAGACTAATATCTTCCTACATACACATTTTGGTTCTTGTCATACTATATGCTCATAAAATGTCAGGCGATTATTTGAATAACCAAATCCTACTTTATACTGATAATGCAGCTTTACACTGATAATGGAACTCGATTATTGCTAATGTAGGTCTGTAAATCTAGAGCTAAAATTTCATTTAGCAGTGAAAAATAAACTTATGTATAAAAGGTTTCAACTGACATACATGCTAAGCAATGCTTTTATTATGCGATTTGAAATGTATAATGTACATTTCCCGTACACTCCAGGCTCACTCTATGGATTTTGTGACTGAAAAGACTTTTTTAATCACTTGCACATTCGTTTAAGAAATGCTCATACATTTTTTTAAAAACTTTTCTTTGATAATTGAAAGAAATTTTAGGTGCATATTTACACATTTAAAACATAACTATATATGCATATCTAAAATTATGATATATAATTAAAACAATAATAAATCATTAGTTATTAATTCTTTAAACTGTTATTTTTACAATACACTAAACTAACAAAAACTAAGACATATTTCCTCACAGATGAAAACTGGCTCTCCTAAATTTTAAAATGGATATATCCACATAGTGATTGTTGTGTGTTACTAAAGATACATCCTTGCAAACTACCAGTGAAGATCATGCTGGACCTTTCCTTTCTAACAGTGAACTTTATCACAGCAAAGCAAACATGAACTCACATTCAGTCTACGATTTTACTCAGCCAGCTTGCAAATTCACCTTCTCCAATTATTTTATGCATGATTTGATACCTAAGGAGTATCAATGAGAACGGCCAAGATTTAAGTTACAGGGAAACACAAGTGAAGATATCTTATTGCATATTGTAATGTTCTTATTGGAATGCATGCTTCTTTTAAAGAAATCATATCGTGGAAGTTATCTGTATTTTATCCATGACTTATTTTTCATTTATTATGTTCTTACTGTAAGGGAAATAAATTATTAGCCCTTCTTTGGGAAATAAATTATTAGCATAACTTTCCCTTCTCAATTTTCAGACAATAAGATTATACTAAAACAGGGAGGAATACAATATACATTTGTGCCTTTAAATTTAGCTTTAAAAATTCAGCAGTCCTAAATAACATTCTTAAAATGTACATAAATAAAACCAAATGATTCAACATTTAGGTTTAAATTGCACTTCAAATCATAAAGCCTTTCATGGGGCTTAAATGAAAGTTTCCTGCCACCGCAAATATCGTATGCGCAAATAGTTCGTGCTGGTGTGTTTAATCATATTTGGTCAAACGATTTTTGGCATCTGAAGGAAATGGACTTGCTTTAGAAAAGTCTGTTGTGAAATAAATAAATAAATTAATAATAAAAAAAATACAGTTATCATTTAAATAAACTGCAAGGGGGGTTGCAGGCATACTTAGAAATAAATCTACTTTAAAAAATTTTATAGGTTTTAAATCAAAATTTTTTTCAAAAAATTTATAAAAAATTATTTAAGAATACAAATTTTAAATGAACCTAAACTTCGAACTGTGAAAGAAGGAATCAAATGAGTGTAATAAAAAAAGAGATATTAATAAATACGTACCCAAATTGAATTAACATTGAGGAGCTAAAATTTTGAGAGCTAATTTTTTAGAAAACTACTTGTGCGATTTTTACAAAACTTGGCAGTTTGGCATAATTTGAGTCAGAGAATCAAAATATGGAAGGGAAAAAAAAAAAAAAAAAAAAAAATTTGCCATGTCATTTCAGAAAAGTCCAATTTTGTGTCAAAATACCTATATTCCAACAATGCTATAATATAAATCTAATGCACATCCCAAGTCGTGCTTTTGAGACATGGTAAATACAATTCAAATTTCGTCCACCGGCCCGTGTAGAACAGGAGATCTAGAAGTGCCCCCCCTTTTTTTGCGCAGTGTACAAGGGCATCACTGTGAAGGTTTGGTGTGTATTTAATTATGGCAAAGCACACTAGGGCTATCTGCCTAAGAGGAGGGATGCCTTCGTGGAGGACTTTCTATGGAAAACTGGCTCGTATACACGTTACACATGGGGAAATCCATGAAAACGACCATGCAGCCAGCCCGTTCGCGGGATTCGAACCTCGGACCGAACTACCAGTGTTCAGCGACTTTACCGCTCGGCCGCTGGTGGGCTGTGAAGGTTTGGTACCGAAAGTTCAAAATCAAGGATTATGACATCCAAGAAGCAGAGCGACGCTCTGGCTGGCCTACTGATGTTGATGAGGCCCACCTATGACAACTTGTGGAAGAAGATCAGTATGCAACCACTCAAGAGTTTGCTAAGGAGTTAGACGGTAGTGCCGTGTCTATTCATCATGCTATGCATCAAATAAACTTGACATACAAGTTCAATTGCTTGGTGCCGCATGAGGTGAATCAAAACAGATAAGGACAGACATGTTCAGGCCTGCACTAATCTGCTCGAATATCAACGTGAGGACAAAATTCTGAACTGGATCATCATTTATAATGAAAAGTGCATTTACTTCAACAATACAGGTCGAAATATGGGTTGGTCTGGGCCCCGTGAGCCAGTCAGCTGCGCTGCAAAGCGTAATTTATCTAATTAACATATCATGCTTTTATCGGGTGAGACTGCTGTGGAGAAAGGTAAAACCCTCGACACTAAGGTGTACAGCGAGATGCTAGCTCATGTTTACACTGCTATCAAGAAAAAAAATCGAAATGAGACTTCTGGTGCAAATAGGTAATGTTCCATTAAGATAATGGAAGACCACGTGTGTCTGCATTCACTGGCTTGACTTTGTATGGACTCGAATGGGATCTTTTGCCACACCCATCATGTAGCCCCCACATCACTCCTTCACACTTTTACTTGTACTTTTTTTCACACCTGCAGCTACATCTTGCAGGTGCTATCTTCCATTCTGCATAGGATGTTTCAAATGAGGTTGATCTGTTTTTGGACTCGTGACCACCAAGTTTCTGGGCCGAAGGCTTTGAAAAATTATCAAAACGTTGGCAGAAAATCACAGATTTAGGTGGTGACTACTACGAGCACTAAAAGTACTGCTTTCATGTTTTTCCCCCCTAGCTTTTTTTAAGAACCTCTTTTGGCACAAAACTTTCATTACAACCAGATGTTATTTCAATGAAGTTTAAAATTCAAGAACTGATAGTTATATTCTACAGATAATGGAAATGAATATTTACAAAAATGATGGAACATTAATAAATAAAATATAGATTCCTATTTCATTTTAAAACTCCTATTCAATTATTCTATAAGATTTCATTCATCATACAAATTATGAAGCTATATAGATAATTTAAAACACAACAATTTATTATAGCTACTGATGGCAAAGAATACTATTAAAAAATGACAATGCAAAAGACAGATGGTATTTCTTAAAAATACTTACCTTTCTATTTCATGATAGATATAATGAATGTTCATAATGTTTTTATTGTAATGCTCCATTAACATATTTACACACTTGATATGCTTAATTATGAGTAATTGTTACAATTATATGAAATTTTTAAGGCATAACAGCAATAAGCAGATTTACACACACATATTTTAAGAGTAATGCTATTTTACTCACTTATTATTTAAAAAAGATTTGATTGTTAAAGAATATATAAATCAATAAAATGTTGGCTGCAATGACATGTCAGAACAATATAGTAGCACACAAAGAAAAAAAGACAACATACCAGTGCGGAAAAAACCGCACATAAGAAACATTCATCTATAGTCCACAGCTTAGATGAAGACGTAGACAGTAGTAAAACGTGGTTATGTGCACAACTCAGACACTTATAAGAGTTCAATGGCAAAACTGATCTGTAACATGTTAAGGCTGATTTGTGTAAGAAAGAAGACGTAAACAGATGAAAAGTTCTTTGTGTTAAAGAAAATCTAACATTTCTTCGAGAAAGTTCTTAGGATGATGTACAATCTAACTTACCAGTTCCAGAAACTGCATAGGGAATTTGCACTCCAAACACACCACAGTGTCTGGAGTGTCCTCATTGATAGAAAAAGAAAAAAAAAAAAAAAAGAAAGAAACACCCTTATTAAGTTCATTTAGTCCAACACTTTTAAAATTATAGAGACCCTTGCATGTGTCCCTACATGCCTCAATTTAAACACCCATAAAGTTCACCCTTCATTTTAGAAAGTTCAAATTAGGGCTAATTAAACACAATGCTTGTTTTCGTTAAATTGGTAAAAACCTTTTTCCTAGTTCTTATTATGATTAAAAGAACACCATGCCACATTCGACTATACAATTTTTCTTCGTAAATTTGATTTTGTTTTATATTATTTCCGTTGTGGAAGCATGCAAAAAATTTAATATAAAAATGGTGCTATAATGCATAAAGTGCAGGCCAACAAATGGCTACTTTCTTTCTGATACGATTTTTAACATCTTTCAAATTTTCTTTCATAGCACACTGGTAGCATTTTGTCTTGCTCCTCAACAGTAGATATTTTTCTTCATCGCATTATGAAATAACTTTTTATTTATTTATTTTTTCAATCAGCCACCTGCAATTGCTGTACCACACCAGAATAATTCATATTTCTTAGCTATTAATCCAATATGTGACAGTTTTTGCCATGTTTGCAATCTAGGTAGAGCTAACCTCAAAGAATCAGGAGGGCTTCTGCGAGATGAAGAATGAACTGCACGACGGCGATCTTGACGCTCACGTTCCTCTCTTGACCTAGAGGTTCTTGGTTTGCTTCGCTTCATATTTCGTAAAACAGAGATCAGGTCAATATTTTCATCCACTGGAAACAAGCGGCACAATTCTTCCCCAACCTTTGGTTCTATTTCCTAAAACAAAAATAATATGAAAAGTAAGGTACTGAATTTAAATATATATATATATATATAAAATACCAATATATGCTTAATAGAGGTTCCACATTTATAACTTTTCTAATATCAGAAATTTTTCTATTCATATATTTTACTTATCAAAGCCACGCTAACAGATTAAATACCTGCATGAAATCTTAAAAACATTTCCTCAAAATATTTTTATCACTTTCATATTAACAAGTATATTAATCAAATTTATTATCCTATCATTTATTTTAATTGACACAATTGCCTTATTTGCCTCAAATTTGTAGATAACAGATAGCTACTTTGCAAACAGATGCCAGCTGCTACTGTAGATATTACTTACCTGCCCATCTCTTCCAATTTTAACTTGTTTTCCTTCATTCCATGGATTATATAAGTGTTGAGTCTTCGTGAAAGAAAGCTCCCGCCTGAAAAAAAAATATATATAAACGGTATACAAACAAATTAATAACTAAATATTTAATATCAGACCTACAAAAACATATATAACAGTGATATTTCACTTCATTAACTGCTTTGAAAAAAATTAAATTTCATTTTTTTAAATAATGCTTAGCTGAACATTGTCCCAATTTTTCAAAAATTTTGAGCCAAGCTTTTGATATTTTGTGATTTACCCGTCCCTCTGCAAAAAGTCAGCAAATCATTGTTGACTTTGTGAATGAGCGAAACGTTTGCTTTACTTTTACCGCTCTTTTATTCACATATAACAGTACCTAGGAGCATTTTATAAGAAAGGGTAAATTTTACTGCAAGAAAACAAAAATCTACATAACCAATATTTACATTTTTACAAATGGTGGATACCACTCAGTGAAATAATGGTTAATTTAAAGTATATAGTTTCACATGTACTAAACATGCCCGTGGCATGTGAATGTATTAATTAGCTATAATTCCATATATAGTATAAAATACACACACACACAAAAAAAAAAAAAAATTAAAAGCCAGGTGGGGGGGATGCACAGATAATAAGGAAGCACAGAATCTTTTCAATTTTTCATGTTAGAATTACAAATCTTTATAAACACTTATATCCTAAGTTATAAACATCCATTTTATGCAACACTGAAGGTGAAGTATTCCTGCATGAGTTTCTGAATTCATACAGATCAATAAATAAGCAAGTACAGTAAATTAATTATGAAACCGTAATTTATGTAATAAATAGCAATTATGATCTAAAAAGTATCAAAATTTTAAAAAAAAAAGAGCACCAATATTATATTTATTTGTTTACTTTATTAAACTTTTTTTTAACGCGCGCATGCTAAAAGCATACATTACGCATAGTCGAAATTAGAAAATTGCAACCAGATAACTATTTGATGTGTATTCGTGATATTTATAATGACGAGGAATTTGATTTAAATCATATCAAAGACAGAGTACATCGAGATGAAATACTACATTTAGTAAGGAATTATAAGCCGAATAAAATAAAAACATCTGCCCTGATGATAAGGATAGTGCTGACAGATCAACTTCCAGTTCATTGAGCGCCACGTCATTTCCCTCCCTCCGCAGAGCAGAGTGAAATTGATAAACATATTTCAGAATGATTAGAGATTATCATTGTTAATATCTCCGCATATTAACAATGATAATCTCTAATCATTCCGTTTATTGTTAATATCTCCGCAGAGCAGAGTGAAATTGATAAACATATTTCGGAATGATTAGAGAATCAAAGGGTCTTTATCCATTTTTTCCAGCAATTCCACTTTTTGTTTGATGGACATTGGAACATGCTTTCGCTTTGTAGATCCTTTGGTAGCTTCAGAATGGGAAATTCTTTTCGACATAATCGAAAGTTCAAGCTTACTTTTATAAAATTGCTCTAACAGTCTGCAAAAAATAATTAGCCGGATCCAATTAGAAGATTAAATAAAAACGCAATCTGCAACATTAACATAAATAGATAATTAGATAATTTTAGCTTAGCTTATACCATCTGTTATACATTAAAAATGTGTATGAGTATACGTATTATGCACATGCATAAAGGTATTATGCGCATGCGTTAACGCATTACGCGTTGACGTATGCGCAGAAAGTTTGTAGCTTTGAGGTCCGGATTATAGATCATTCCGGATTAAAGACTTTTGACTGTATTATTGTTATTTTAAGTTTTTTCCCCTCGAGGAAGGCTAAATTTCTGATTAAAATTATTAAATTAATATTAATCTTATTAAATTAAATAATTAAGAGCGGATGAAAATTCCACAGTTTACTTATTTATGTAAAAGAAAATGTAACTTTACCTGCAAATATAATCCAAACGAAACACTCCACCTAAAGCTCGAGCACTTAATCCAGGTGGCAACACCCATTGTATTGTAGGGACATCATGTCTGGATTCTGAAGACATTCTTGCAAAACCTTTAATGAAATATTTAAAATTATATACTATTGAAAAAGTAAAAAAAAAAAAAAAAAAAAGGAATTAAAAGCAAAAGTAAAAAGAAGTAAAAACAGTTACTATACCTTGAAATTTCCCACTTTCTTTAACGGAAAAAACCAGGATAACATTTCTACATGTCTAAAAAAAAATTCACAAACCTTAATTTTTTACAGTTTTCAAAATAAGGAAATGAACACTTTCAAAGGAAGTTTTAAGGCTGATTTTTCATAGTCAAACTATTCTTAATTTGACATTTAGGTTGAAAAATCAGTAAGAACAAAAATCTATATATGCTTTAAAAAAAACTGTAAGCCAAATTTAGATTATAGACAATATAAATTATTAATGCTTGAAATCATATATCTAAAATACAAACTGTGAACTGATACCTGATTTTCGAGAGTTAATGTACTACAGTCAAATAATGAAAATCCGCCGACCGGAAATCTGTGTTGCCTCTCAAAATATAAACATTCAATTTATAAGTTCTGGAAACCAAACTGAGTGCGAAATATTGAAGAAAAAATATTTTATGGATAATGACGTCATAATTACCGAATAATAATGAGTCATAATGGAAATACCAAATTATTGACATCATGATAATTGTTTTCCCTGTAATCTGCATTGGGGTAAAAAGCAGACGATTCACTCAACTCTTCTTTCAAGTTCACGATTCATGTTGTTGTATTTTCTGAGCTTTGTTATTTCACGAGATTGTTTAGTGCTGTCTTTTTCTTTGATCCAGATATTTTGTAGGTAAATTAAGAATATTTTAAATTTCAAACAGATAATGGCAGATAAGAAACACACTCATGATTTTACTGCTTGCAACATTGAAAAACGTAAACACATTGCCGGTAATGCAAAACGTGCAAATTCTGCAAAAGATGGAGGCAGGTGCTACTCCTCGGTTTATAGCAGAATCATATGGAATTGCGACATGATTGTGTACAATACACAGAAAAATAAAGAAAAGCTGTTGAAATTTTACAGCAACAGTGATTCTAACACCAGAATTCGAAACCGGAAATCTTTGCATGAGGCACGATGCTGTGCAACCTCGATGCTGTGCACATATAATACGAGTACAATGAATAATATAATCAATTTATATATGTAATAATAATTTAATGCAATAATGTATATAATAATTTAATTAAATGTATCTAATACGCCTTATTTATTTTGCACTTTTAGTCCAAATATTATGATTTATCTTTTCTGTCCTGAAATCCGCAAAATGCTAAAATTCGCACAACCTCTGGTCCCAAGCTTTGCGGATTTCTGGACTTTCAAATATTAACTTTCATTATAGTACTTGAGTTAAAATAATATGCCAAAAATCAATTATTGGAAAAACAGAATCAGTGTAATATTCATAAGTTTGCAAGATTAATTTGGAAGTAACAAAATTGGAGGTGTCAAGGCTTAAATGCAGAATTTTCGAAACTAGTCCTGCATATTTATGAATAAAATGTTGATTCTTGTTGCCCTGACACTTCCAACAATAATTGCATTATAACAATTTTTACTTTCTTCTCTGGGGTGGGGAATCTTTATGTATAACACGAAATTTTTTATTAATCTTAATGTAACAGAGTAAAAGAAGGGTGAAAGAAATACTTTATCTTAAAATCAACTTTTAATTCCCCCCCCCAAATTTCTTACAAATTTAAGCATATTATTGCAGCATTAGAACATCACACCTTCTTTAGCATATAGCAAATTACTGAATTAGTACAACATACTGCTTTAGAGAATACGTAACAAAAGCAGGCACTCTTCTATATGTCTGAAGTAGTTACAAACATACTTTCTATTAGCACAAATCCACTAGACTCAGGCTTTTGTCCATTACCAAGCTGCTGCTAGAGTAAAAATATCTCATACTCTGAGGATTTGGGAATGCTTTAGAAATTAATTTTGAGACTTAAGGCAAGAAACATGTTTCTAATTCAGGAAATCAATTACTAAAATGTTTCTGTTAACAAAGGTTTGGTTGCAGTTGTTACCTTCTTCGGTTTATCCAATCTTTTGAGTTAGAATTTAATGATGGATTTACATATAATGGGGGGAGAGGATTAAAATTCTCCTATCTCAGTAATGATTTTGAATAACTTCTTTGCCATAATCACATTGCTTCTAACTAGATAGTTATTCAGAATTAACAGGTCCTAATCAGAAGTACTTTCTTGTTACTACTATAGCACACAGAATAAAAATCAGAATCATAAGCATGTAAAAATTATACAAATTTAAACTATAAATCAAAGTAACATCATATTTACTTACCCTATATGCTTGGTTTAATTTACTTTCATTCTGAGGTGGGGTTGACCACACACCCTACAAACATATAGATAAAAAATGCATGTAAATGATAGTAATCAGCCATCACACAGAATTTAAATATAGAGGAAAAGAAATGCACTTGATAAGTTATAACAACCAATGTGAACAAATGAAAATGATCAGCTCAACACATATAACAAACAAAAGTATTTATTAAATACAGCATTTACTAAGTTATTTGATCAAATAACAGAACACTATTCTGGAAATTAAGCCAAAGAAGCATATAATTTACAAAATAATTTTTGAAGAACCACATTTTTAGTTTTTTTTTTTTTTTTTTTTTTTTTTTTTTTTCTAATCCTCTTAGCGCTGTTTTTAAAATTAAATCTAAATTTTTATTTTTCATTCTGATCTATGAAATTTCTTTTTCGGAAGTTTAATATAGTGCTTATTTCTTAATTTATACAACTTATCATTTATTACACTCATTGTTGCTACTCTATTTAGTATACATTCCCACAAAACTGCTTTAGAAACTATTCATTTAAACCTTGAATTAAATCTACTCCGTCGATAGTGCATAAACCACAGTAGAATAAATGCACTTTTTAAAATTCATTATATTTATTTACCATAGCGATACTCTGGCACTAGATTCACTTAACGGTGCTACATCTGATTCATTTAACTCAAAATTCACAAACTCAGAATGCACAAAAATTATATCATCTGAAGATTATCTAATTGTTGCCATGTGTTCTATTGAGATACAATAATAAATCTAAAACAATTTATAAAAGAAATTAAACAAATAAAAAATAAACACTTATTAACAGATTATTCAGCGCTGCTTACCTAATGTGCATGCGCTATTCATAAACATTCTTTGTCCGCAACAGACTTGCGACAGTATTTTCTGTTACTGTGAAGCACATATTTCCTCGAATTTCATTAGAGATATATTTCTCATTCAATTAATTCAGTTTTCACTTCGCGGGAAGGCAAAAATAATAAAAACTCAAAATATCTTTGTTAAAAAATTGGGAAAAAAAAATTATTTTTTTTTTTTTTTTTTTTTTTTTTTTTTTTACAATTTAAATTACAGTTTCTATGCAAAAACAAGCAGTTTGGCCAGCGGGCAAGAAGACAGATTTTTTTTCGAGGACAAAACTTAAAGTTTACTTTTGGTCTCACTCCGGAAAAAGACATTGAAGGCATAGAACCTGATTTAATTTGTTGTGGACGCTATGCTGAGTCAACATATGAGATAATTTAAATGATAATTCCAGAATGGGTTAAGTATAATTTAATTCACAATAATAAAAGAAGACATTACTTTGCTGTTGAAGCTTATTCTCTCTAGATTGGCAACAAAACCACTATTCTGCTAAGTTTGAAATGTAAACAAATATAGCTGCTATGGTAAAGATATTAGGCTTAGCCACACTTAAACAACTTTTAAATTGTTGATAATTCTACAACTATAACATGTAGGTTAACTCAAGGCATAAAAACCTTAACCAGAAGATAAAAACAATATAATTCAATCATTTTTAAAGCACAAAATGCACAATTTACAAACATATAAGAATAAAGAAACTGAGCTCAGCTGCGTAACAGAGTAGATATATGTATACATATATTTATATACTTTTGGTGCACCCAATTGCAACCGAAATGGAAGGTGCACATCTACGTTACAGCAGTCCCATATACAAAATTTCAATGTTCTAAGACTATTAATTTTTGAGTTATGCGAAATACATACATATGCCATGTAAAAAATCTCTTCTGAATCCATTTTAGATCAATTTTATAATTCATTTGGGAGAAAAGAGTCTTTTATTCTGTCCTTATGTACAGATGTCATGCAAAAACATCGTTAAATTTAATTCGATAGAGATCAAAATGGATATTTTCGTTGAAATATGGCACCTGGAATTTTTGGCGATTACAATACTTCCTTTACTTCATACAAGGAAGTGAAAAACATGGTCTCCTATATCAAAATTCACACACTACTGTAATATTTCACACACTAGTTATATTTATTTTTCTTTTATCATATAATCCTGCCATCATCAAAGTGATGAGAGTCAAACATGCAGTAACTGAATCTGGATTTTTGAGGATGTTAACATACTCTCTATAAAAGAAATGCATAAAATATCATCATCCAGAATAGCATAAATTGTGAACTAGTGCTAATGGAGTTATAGCATTTTTTTAATTTTTTTTATTTTTTTTTTATTTTTTTTTTTTTTTTTTTTTTTTTAAATTTGTGTGATATTGTATTTTGAGCCAATGGCATTTCTGGAAAAAAAAAAAAAAAAAGAAGATTGGTTGATTGACTGAGACACAGCCTTAAAAGGCTATTTACCTAAAGGGATTAATTCTTGGATTTTTTTAAAAATTTAGATTAGTGTAGATGACCCATTCTCTGACACCTTTTTTTCATTTTATTAAAACTGTACTACACATTTTCATACAATTCAAGCTTTCCAAAACTGTATAATAGCTGGTTACTCAAAATTACCAAAAGAAGCATTTTCCAATGCTTCTGTGAAGGTTATGATGTTGAAATACTGTATTTCAACAGATGTAACTTCAAAGACTAAATAGCAACCTTTGACATTTCAGATCAAACTACTTAGCAAATATTTTCTACTAACTTTTTAACCAGTATACTATGTTATTAAAGTAGTCTATATTTACATAACATAATAATCACAAAATAAATATCTCATTAACTTTCAAATTTAATCTTTCTGCTACTAAGCATCAAACCAAGTCACTGAAAAGTAATAAACACAGATTTTAAAAGTCCTCTTTCTACTTTTAATCTGACTGATTAAAATAGAAATTAATTTAAATTATGAGATGTCTAATCAGAAATATTAAATAATTTTATGAAATAATACTATCTGGACTTCTAACAATCATTACACCCTTTTTCTTCTCTATGACAACTATTTCAGGCAGTTACCTGCATGAGCAGCTAATATTTAAAGAAATAAAATAGCAAATATAAAAAAAATGTATGGCAACCCCCTATCGGGAATTCTAAAATGCAATGTTTTTAAATATCTGCGATTTTGCCATTGAACTTTATGTGGCATAAGAATGAAGAATGTAATATATAAAATAAAATAAACAAAAAGATAAAAATAAAAAGAAGAAAAAGTTTCAGAAGTCATCTTACTAAGAAAAGAAAACTAAACACTGGTATAAAACACTGGTTTAAACCCTTTACAAAAAAAAAAAAAAAAAAAAAAAACATTTATGTCAACACTGTATCAGAAATTCTAAACATATGTGTTGCTTTTAAAAATGTTTTAATTTCACTGCTGAATTGTATACGACACCAGTATGAAGAAAGCGGTGCTTAACAGCAAAGCTAAAAAGAAAAAAAAAAAGTTTTAGCGGAAGTCAGTCTAAATGCATACTGGTAACCTGTAACACTGAATCAAAGCACCAAAAACTTAAAAAAGCAGTTGGTACAACATTCAGAATATTTTCAGATTTTCTGTATTCCCTGCCGAATTTTTATGAAATTAATTTTACTTTAACAAACTTAACAACTTTTCCAGAACTTACTACATTACTACTTCCCAATATTCACAGACCAAAGTTACTTAAGTTTTATAAAACAATAAGATAATTTTTTAAGTGGGGGAAAAAGTGCATGCTAAAAGCTTAATTTTGTAGTAATCGATAAAAATATTAACAGAACAAAGATTCTCTCATTTTTCAAACAATTTTTAAGATTTAAGAATTTTTCATAATTACATGAGATGATAAGTACAAAAATGCTAAGGAAAGAAGATTTTCTTTCTTTTTAATAGCACTAAGAAAAATCATACAAAGTCCGCAATCTGGACGTCCATTATCCGGAATGATCTATAATCTGAACCTCAAAGCTACAACCTTTTTTTTTTTTTTTGGTATGCCTTACGCATGCTCGTAATGTGTTTACGCATGCGCATAGTGCGTTTGCGCGTTTAATGTATAATGTACGGTATAAGCTAAGCTAAATTACCTTTACCGATTCTAAGGCATTTCAGTTAATGTTGCAGATTGCGCTGTTTCTTAATCTTCTAATTGGATTTGGCTTACTATTTTTTGCAGGCTGTTAGAGCAATTTTATAAAAATTAAGCTTGAACTTTTGATTATATCAAAAAAGTTTCCAATTCTGGAGCTGCCAAAGGATCTACAAAGCGAAAGCATGTTTCGTTTTTCTATGTCCATCAAACAAAAAGTGGAATTGCTACAAAAAATGGATAAAGGAATATCTGTCTCAAAATTATACGAGGAGAACGGCATTGGATGACACAAGAAAAAAGAAAAAGGAACTTCTTGAATTTTTGTTGAAGCATCTTAAACAACTTACATTGTAAGAAATGTTTAATAAAGTAAACAAATAAATATTAAGTTTTTTTTTGTAAATTTTGGTACCCTTTAGATCATAATTGCTCTTTATTTCATAAATTATGGTTTCATATTTTTAATTGTATAATTTCTGCATGCCATCTTACCAGATTTAAATTGATGATCTATAATCTGGAAAAAACCCTAATCCGGAATCACCGAAGTCCTGACGAGTCCAGATTATGGACTTTGTATTGTATTATGATGTTTAGCTTTTGTTTTGAAAGCTATTCTACAACATTAATTTTTCCTATGAAAATAAATATAAATACATAGAGTTCCAAAAAAATCAGAAGAAAAATTAAAGACACTTTTTTATATTTACCTTTGCTTTTGACAAAGCAACATTTTCATGGTTGTTGCTTTTCACTAGAAAAAAACGAGCATCTCGGAAAAAGTACTTCAGAAGGTGGCTATAATCTATGAAAAAAGTATCTTCAAGTTCTTATGTTCAAACATAAATTCAGCATTTTTGAATATACTAATGCAAATACTGTCACAAATTACCACAAAAATTTAGGCAATACTACAGTAAATATTAATGCTGTATGAAGAAATATGCATATATGCACACACTGCAAAATAATTCCTTAAAGGTAAGTTTCAAACAATTAATTTAAGTAGAATTCATCTCAGGCAGATATAATTAAATAATATAGATTTCTGTTAACAATTTCAAATCAAAATTATGCAATTACAGATTCTGAAACAACATTCACATCCTCAGAACAGGCAATGTGACAGTTTTATGGTAGATGAAAATTTGCACATTCTAGAGGTGATTATATAATTATATATATTACAGTAGAATTTACCCAAGGTTCACAATGAAATTCAAGTTTTAATTTCCGTGTTTTCCCATGCGCAAATGGAACAATTTCCCTAGATAAACATACTGAACTAGAATATTAAGTATGTGTAACTGAATAATTTTGTATGTTTGCTACAAAGTACAGCATTGTAAATAAAAACATTGTAAAATTTCTCATCTTAGTAGAAGAGGCCAAGTTTTCAGAATGTGTAAAACTCTGTCAACCATGCACATAACCATTCTCTGATAACAATTCTTAAGTCAAGCAATGCCACTATTTTCATATGTGTTCTTTTTTTTTTCGGGGGGGGGGGGGGGGTATTTCAAATTCCAATGGTTTCTAAGAACAAATCATGTTTTTTTTTTTTTTTTTTTTTTTTTTTTTTTTTTGCAAAATTTGCGAGCAATCAAAGAAACTGCCATAAAATTTCTGCAAGTATGCAGAATTTTTATGAAAATTTTCTAAGCAAATAACAAAATGCTATTTTTCTCAATAGCCACTGCAGCCAAAAACTGCATGAAGCCGATTGTCCACAACTCTCTAATGTTTTCTCAAGCAAAAACAGATTGTTGTTCACATTGGGAGAAGAAAAGTGCACACAAATTACAGAAAGATTTAAAGAAGAATGTAAATTTTTTATTTTTTAATATATTGTGTAATCCTTACTTAATAGTTCAAATTTGTATTTTAAATTGCTAAGGTATGTTTCCTTTTCATATGTTGATTATATTTATTGACTTAATGATAAATATTGCAAGTTTTGTAACCTTTCTTAAAAAAGGCGGCGAGGAGGCGCGAAAACTAGCAAACTTGCTATCGCATACTTGCCATCCTATGACACTCAAAAATCAGGAGATTTTTCACAATGTTAAAAAGACTTTTTAAATGATGAAACTATAGTTTTTAATAATGAATTAACTATAAATAGTAATTAATTCTTAAATGCAAGCAAAACAAAAATACCTTATACATAAAAAACATTTTTATTACTTGCATTGTTTAAGGGGGGGGAACACTTTAATCAGTTTTCGTACAAATGTTATAAACAGTGGCAGATTTTGCTTTCTTTAAGAAAGAAACTTCATAATTTTGTTCATAGCAATTGTCAGGTAGGCCTGCTTTCGCTAATAAAAGTTTTTCTAATGTGTCATCACTAATAACGAGGGCCCTCGTTTTTCCAACAACACTGAAAATCCTCTCACACTCTGCATTACTATGGGAAACTGTCAAGATGGCCAACATAATTCTAGACAGTTCACTATATTTCAAAATTCCATCAGCGTCTTTCAGTTTTCCAATTAAACTCCAATGGGTGTCAATCCTAGCTGATTTTATAAATTCATCCAAGTTTTCTAACTGTAAACTGCTGTTATGCAGCTGTTGGAACTGTTTCAATTTTTCCTTCCTTTTAGAACTCCTTTTTCAAGGTAATGATAAATATCAACAATGTGTTCATCCACATTTATTGGTAAAGAAGCTACCCCTTTTTCAGCTGCTAAATTTAAGAGGTGACAGGTGCACCTCATAATCTGAAAATCTGAATTTTCTTTTTTCAAGATGCCTGCAACACCAGTCTTCCAAGCCTACCAATACTGGTGCATTATCGGCACCAAGTGCTAAGCAGTTATCCAGAGGGACTGCATTTTCTTTTAAAGTTTTAATAATTAGCTGTGCTATATTAAAGCCTGTCGAATGTCCTTCTAAAGTGGAGACAGAAAGTAAAGTGCACTCATTTCTGAAGACTCTGGATTAAAAGAAGAAACAACAACTGGATACAGTTTTGAATTGGTATTATTGCTTCCATCCGTAGAGAGGCGGTATGGAGCTGTTTTAATGCAATTAATAACTGAAGATTTATTTTTCAAATCCATTTCTTTAACAATTGCACCTGTTTTGGTTCTTGCACTTGAGTATTTCTTAGTGATTTCACTATCGGGAAACATTTTTCTAAATAATGTTGCAGCGTGATCCGATGCATTCAGTGCAGGTTGTGGTCCAGTAAAAAGGCAGAGAACAGACATTCTGCATTAATAACTTTTTGGTCCTTTGTTTCCGAAGAAAAATTTAATTTTTTGTTTTTTTCAAAACAATTCATGTTGTCTTTGTGTTTTAGTGTACGCACATGTTTGAGAACATCCGCTCTTCCACCACGCAAAATCGAAAAATCGCAACAACAGGCGGTACACATCGCAAATTTATTACATTTCCTTGAGGAAATAATGGAAGGAAAGTCAACTGTGTACGATTTTTGAAATGTACACGAGTATTTCACCTTTCTCGCAGACATAATAAAAGATGATAATTTCTAAAACTATTTCCCGAAGGCACGTGTACTCACACAACTCAGGACAAAATGACCGAAATAACTAAAGAACATCCAAATAACAGCTTGCTTTGTCCTGATTGGCTAATATATGCCAGATGACATGCAGTGGAGCACGGTGCCCATTGGAGAACTGGAGAACGACGTTTCTGGATACGTATATGCTCTCACTCACAAAGCAGAAGTTATCTAATTCGTAAGGGTTTGTTTTAGATATAATCTAGAGAAAATTCAATTGCGTTTAGACGTCCAAAATCACTTTTTTTTTTTTTTTTTTTTTTTTTTTTTTTTTTTTTGTTTGTTCATATAACAAAGTACTACGCCAAGTTCCATAAAAATCGTGAGAAATTTTAAGAATAAGAAAAAGTCAGGAGAAATATATTGTAAATCGGGTTGGCGGGAGAGCGGTCTTCTGCCTAAATCGGGAGAATTGGCAACTCTGCATTCGATAAATAACTTTTACCTTTTCACTTCTAAAAAAATTACCAAATTGCACCAAGATGGTTGCATAAATATGTATTCATTATAACACACACACACAAAACAAACAAAACAAACAAACAAACCAAAAAAAAAAACAGTAACTTCTAAATTACAGTTTTACAGAGAAGAAACTTCATTAACAGGTTGAGAAGACTGCTATGCGTTGGTAAAATTATATTAGATATTAAATAGTTTAAATTACTTTTTGCAAAAAATTAACTCTTAATTTGCTTTCTGTTCAAGAATTTACATTTTGTTTATTGTGCATTATTTGAAACAAGACTGGATTGGATTATTCAATTATGGCAAAGCACATGAGATCTATTTGCCTAAAGGGAGGTATGCCTTCGTGGAGGATTTTCTAAGGCTCGAATACACGTTACACATATTTGAAACAAGAACTTTTTATATCAGAATATTAATTTGTACATTTTTCAACTTCTTAACTTTTTAAAAGTTCTAATATTTGATGACATTTCTGAACTATTTGTTATTTTTCCAATTTTCTAGTTGAACTCTATCATACTGTATTAATCAAATCATATGGTATGTAAAGAACTATGTTTTATTTAGTATTCTCAATATCAAATAGAAGCTAGAAGAATGCCACTCCTCAGTATATGTTTGAACATGACACCTTTTAAAGTAGCCCTGCTACACTATATATATCCTATAATTGGCAATGGAAGCTAAACTGTTCACCCAAATATTGTGGGGATTCACTTTATTGAATTATTAAGTGTTAAGAATTTTATTCTAACTAACTTCTTTTGGTATTTAATTTTAATTCATTCTTTGGTTATTTACGGCAAATTCAAGCATTTTTACGGCCTAAGTGGGGTTGGTTTGGTTTATTTAATTATAGCAAAGCACATTAGGGCTATCTGCCTAAGAGGAGGGATGCCTTTGTGGAAGACTTTCTAAGGGAACTGGGTTGTATACACGTTACACATGGGGAAAACCACGCAAACGCCATGCAGCCAGCCCGTTCACAGGATTCGAACCTCAGACCGAACTACCAGTGTTCAGCGATTTACCCCTCGGCCGCTGGTGTGCCCTTTAATTCAGTGAAGCTTTAGATCATACAAAATTTAAAGAGCCTACACATTCCATATAATTAGTGATCCAACCTCATTTTTATATAAAATGTAACTACTTTTATCAAAGCTAACAATTTGACAAAAGTGAAATTTTTAATAAATAATTTCCAAGTATTCTTTTAAACATAAGTTCAATATATTGATATACAAGTATTGTGTTCTTTTTTTCTTAAATAGTTTTTACTTTATAAGTAACACTATAAATACTCTTTTAATTAACACAACCAATCACGAATTAAGTATATATATAAAAAAAATCTCCTTTTTAGAAAGGCATTTTAAGTATTAAAGAAAAAAATTTATACCTCTCTTGCTAACAGATGATGAAACTCTTGGCTTCTTCTCAGAACCTGTTTTAATGGAGGAAATAAAAAACTTGAAAAAAGTGTACAATAAGATAATAGTAACAATAATAAATAATGTAAAGTTATTAGTACTTTGTTAATAGAGAAATTAAAATAATTTTTAAGATTTCCAAATGATTTGTCAGTTAAACAATATATTTTTGCAGACCACTGGCTTTTAAATATTCTTTCAAAATAATTAATGATATGCAAAATTTAAAGATTAAATTTGTAAAGATCTAATTTTCCATATATATCATTTTATCAAAATTTAAATCATGGTTTAAAACAAATTACTTTTGCCCTTTTAAACATGGACTGCAGCATCCAGAATAATACATGCAGAGAAAACTTCAATTCAAAATAAAGATGCTACATATAAATACTTTTCAATGAAAAATAATTTCTTTATACTAATATTTTAATGAAATATATTAGTATAATGGAAACATAATAAATGTCATATTGATTTATATTAAACAGATAATTACTTTCAAGAACTTCATTATTTACTCTATGTTAGAGAAATCATACTGATAAATTTCAGTAAGCACAGAAACTTACGTTCTTTGCTTCCTTTTCTTTCATACACAACAGGTGAATGTGTTCTTTTTCGAGATCGCTTTCCTGGGCTCTCTTCATCTGAAATTTATGGTTCTAAAATTTTATTATGATCTTATTTATAAAATAAAAACATTTTATAACCAATAAAATAATAGCAAAACCTATTTCATAAAAAGTTACATACGACTGATGATGCATGAAGTATGAATGATGATTCTATATGCCAAAAGAAAATCATTTTAATAGATCCTTCATGGTCTTAAAATGGTTGACAGAATTCTTTTCATAACTATGAATATCTTCTTTATAAACAAACTTTAAAGTTGAATATAAATTAATATTATATGAACAAACTTTTCATAGTGCAGGGAATTTGAAAAGATACATTTATCCAAACAAAAAAAGTACATCTCATACTGCTTACTAAAAACTGAATCAACAATACCTGAATTATAAATATTTGCTAAAGGAAAGGTTTATAATTGCAATACTTCATTTTAGCTCAAAAACATTTAAATTTAGACAAATTAAAGACAAACCTACAGAAACAGCAAAAGCACCTTAATTAATAAAGATACCTTAAAAGTCACATCAGTATTCTTATCAGACATTTGCATATATTCCTTACACACGTTTAAAATTTTTGGAGATGTACGAATTGCTATCTGAATAAATGAATATGGGACATTCTATCTGCCTAAAGGAAGAGCCTAACATACATAGAATATTTTCTCAGGGAAACTGGCCTATATTACCAATGCACATAAGAAAATCAAGAAAACATCAATACATAGAACTTATTTGTCAGGGTTAAAACTACTGCTGCTCATTAGTCTTACCTATTTGCCGATCATTGGGAATAAGGACACACAAATAAATATAGCATTTTAATATTTACATTTAGCTGTCTTCATGTACAAATCCAAAAGTTAATAAATACTCAGTAAATTTATATTTCAATGGAACTGCAATGCCTAATAATGAAATTAACATAAAAATGAATATATATACATATTAAATCTAGAACTTAGTTACAATTATATCAACCACATGGCATTTTCAATGCATAAGTTACTTTACAATAAATGGTAAATAGAGTTTATTGCTCTATTTACCATCGTGGATTGCTAAGTCATCAGATATCGTTTTTAAAATTTTTTTTATCATCATCACTAACACTGCTTGATCTCTAAATACTTGGACTCATAACCAAAAATCTTAATTTTCAGAGGCTTATAGGGCCACACACACGCTAGAAACAAAGGCTTTTTGATTCTCTTTAAATTTGGCAATAGGAATTGTTTCAAAAAGCAATACAGAGTTATATCCTTATCTTCTTGGACCTCACAAAATTCAGTTTCTTCCAAGTCAGAAATACACTGGAGCCTCAGATCAAAAACGTCTCACTTAGCAAACAATTCAGTTCACGAGCAAATTATCTGAACAAATATGTGTCAGATGATAATTAGTTTAATTATGGCATGACTTTCCAAGAGAAATTAGCTCATATTCACATTAGATATGGTGAAAAACCATGAAAACATCCATGCAACCTAGAATTGAATACAGGTCGAAGAGTTTGGTTGCTGGTGAGCTCTTTGTATGATGAATAGCGATCCCAGTTATGAACATTTAACTCAGTAAAATATGATTTTCATAAGTATTTTTGGGCCTACCAGCGGCCGAACGGTAACGTCGCTGAACACTGCTAGTTCCGTCCGAGGTTCGAATCCCGCGAACGGGCTGGCTGCATGGGCGTTTTTGTGGTTTTCTCCATGTGTAACGTGTATATGAGCCAGTTTCCCTTAAAGAGTCCTCCACGAAGGCATCCCTCCCTCAAGACAGATAGCCCTTGAGTGCTTTGCTGTAATCTAATAAACCAAACCAAACCAAACTATAAGTATTTTGAGGTAACTTATGCCACATAATTAATACTCAGCACCATTCGTAAACATCATTTTAGGATTTCCTCTTGCTTAACTCTCATAAACAAAGCTTAGCAGTAAGTGACTTACAGGATTATTAATTTTATTTGAAGAATATTATGATCAGACTGGGTTAACAGCAGTGACTAATAAGCTCACTAAAACTTTGGACACTTTTCTGGTCACCTATGACATGTTTGTACGCAAAATCATGGCCAGCAAATTAACAATGAAGACAAGAAGAAATTACTAGAGGATTATGAATAGTAGTTAAACATGGAAAAAAAAAAAAAAAAACTACTATTTTACAAGCAGTAACAAAAGGTGATTGTGGAATAAATGTTCTCAGGTTTGGTTTGGTTTATTTAATTATGGCAAAGCACACTAGAGCTATCTGCTTAAGAGGAGGGATGCCTTCGTGGAAGACTTTCTAAGGGAAACTGGCACGTATACACGTTACACATGAGGAAAACCCCGAAAACGCCCATGTAGACAGCCCGTTCGCGGGATTCGAACCTCGGACCGAACTACCAGTGTTCAGCGACTTTACCGCTTGGCTGCTGATGGGCTCATAAATGTTTCTCAGAAGATGAGAAAGAAAAAAATTATTCTGATCTGCAAAATTTGTGCAAAATGGGTTATGATGAAAAGTTTTCAAGTAGAGATATAACCCTAATAAAGGAGTACCAAGGTACAGCATAAGCATTTTTAATGGCGATGCTATGTTTCCATTTTGAAAACTTTTTAAAGCACAGCTCATGATTGACAAATTTTTGAGTAAAACAGAAGCCCACTGATTTTCAAGCAGACTCGAGTTGTGCTGCGAGACAAATAAATGATATCCTAGAAAGAAACTTACCTGATGGAAATTTTCCATCTAAACAATAACACCTTTGTCATCCTTTTCCATTCACAGTATCAACTCTCCTTTGTACAGGTAAAGTAAAATTAAGTTTTCATCTAATTCATTAACTTAATTTTGTGTTTATCTTCTTTTATTTTATATCAAATTCTTTCTGTTGGTTTCGGTGTAGTAAATTTGAGCAAAAAGTAGTATTATAAAGTAAGCACTCATCTGTGGTCCATAAATGTATTAATGCAGTTGTCTTAAATTGGCAGGCTACATCTAGCCCCTAAAGCAATTTTATGTGGCTCATGAATACAATTGTGTAAATATTTGTTGCAGCGATTCTAGTTATTTGAATTTATATTACTTTCCTTAACATTAAAAACAAACATAAAAAATACAACAGAAAATCTATAAATGATATTAACTAATTTATGTGACACAAATCTTATTCAAAGATTTAAAGATATAGATTTCACTAACTTTTATTCATACCAGCCAAAAAGTAAATACACTAAGGTATGAATTTTTGTACTAAGAATAATCCCTTTGTTAGGGACTACATCTATATATAGAAACGACTTTTTTCAGAGTTGAAAATTATTATGAAAAGAACCGGATTGACTGATAAGCATCTACAATCCATAATGAATATAAATTCCAGTAATTTTTCTCCAAAGCTACAAATTTTATCAGAACTGAAGCATAATCATGTTGTAAGATGTAGTAAGAAATAAGTTCACAAATATTTATATCACATACATGTATTTTTATTTAAGAGTTTTGATTTGTCAAAGGAAAATTTAAAAAATAAAACAGATTAGGTTGTCATTATTTATTTTCAAGTTTTGTTCAACTTAGAAAGTTTTCTACGTACTTACTTACTTAATGAAAACATATTAGAATAATTTGCTATTAATGTCAGTCTAAAAATTTAGTATCTTGCTGTCAATATGAATTATAAAATCCAATTAACAAAAAAGTCTTCTAGGTATTTATTTAACTTTAGATTCCTGATAGAAAATAAATATAAAATTTAATTCTTTTCCTTTACATTATTATTGTTTATATATGTTTCAATAAATACTTAGAATGCCAAATTAAAAATTTTAAATATTTTTCATTTTCTTTATATATATATAAGGGGAAAAAAGAAAAGAAATCTTACCTACCAGCTGCTTTCAGATCATACCTTTGCCCATATGCAACATAATTTTATATTAATCCCTTTTACTTTAAATCTTAGAATTTTAGTTTCGATGAGCAAAACATTTTGGGTGTAAATGGTTTTCAGGAACAAATTAAATTCATGAACTGAGGGTTTCACTGCAATATTATTTTGTAAAACACCTTTGCAACCCTGATCGATGATAGGAACAGTTATACGAAGATTTAAGATGCCAATGTAACTAAAAATATTTATATAAAAATTACCTTTCATATATATATATATATATATGTACATATATACACACACATATAATATAATTTGAAGCAAAACAAAGATTTAAGGTACCATTTCCACACAGCAGATAAAATTGCAACTAAAAAATTATATAAAATTATCTTTTATTCTTATTCAATAATTAAGGCCCGTTTCCACTACCGCATACGAACGCATTACGTCAGTTGAAGACACACCTACAACATCCGTACATGCGTTTCCACTGCCGCACATCTGTAGATTATTTTCATTTTCCGTCGCTAGGTGTCACTGTAATATTTTGGCACCAAACAACCAGTTCGCGAGTTATGACGCTGAACTTCTGAATTTTTCCCGCTTAAGTGAGTATTGTTCGTTTTTGATATGGATCCTGACTTAAACACAGAAAAGTTTTTTTCCTTTTACTTTCAAAGAAATGGGAAGCAAAATGGGGCGGTATGAAAGGAAATTCCATATTATTGGAATTTTTATTTCTGCTTATGAACTGCGAAAGTAAAGTACGCTAGCAATTTTTAGATAAGTAAGGTTATAATGCATATTATGAACATCACTAATTGCATAGAAGCTGAAGTAAATTTTTAGAATTTCTTTGCGTTTCTAGAAGCTTTAAATATTAATGAAATAATATATATATATTATTAAAACTAAAATGTACTGTTACTGAAAAAAATAAAACAAATAAATAAATAAAATTAAAAAAATAGTTGGTACTTTAAAAATACAGAGAAACTGTAAAGAAAGGTTCACAATATTTACACAAAATTTGCTATGCTATTATACCGTTGACTGCCATGCGAGAATGTATATTTTTAAAATATGCCCAAATTTGGGAAGAAAGCTGGTAATATATAAAATTTTAGCA